TAAAATCATTAACATTATTGTTTTTATTACCATTATTTATATTATTATTATCATTATTATAACTATTATTATTATCTTTATCATCATCTTCACTATCATCATCATTATCGTTACCATTATCAGTATCATAATCATCATTATTATCATCGTCAATATTATCATCGTTATTACCATAACCTTTATCATAAGCTTATAATAATAGTAACAGCAAGAGAAGAGAGAGAGAGAGAGAGAGAGAGAGAGAGAGAGAGAGAGAGAGAGAGAGAGAGAGAGAGAGAGAGAGAGAGAGAGAGAGAGAGAGAGAGAGAGAGAGAGAGAGAGAGAGAGAGAGACAGAGAGAGAGGGAGAGACGAAGGAAGGTACAGAAAAAAAAAATCAGACAAAAAATCGAAAAAAGAGTACATACCATCCTTCCAAACAATTCTGACCCTTATGCTCTACCACAATAAGACTCACCAACATCCCTTTGACGAAAAAAGGGTAATGAGACAATACCACAGCCGAGCGGAGGAATAACCACCCTTAGGAACGGACACCCCAAGGCTCAAAATAGCTTGCCTTCCACCTCATTTTCCTCTCGTCTCATGATAAAGTAACATGACTTTGGTAATTCAAATAATCTTGATACACGAATTAAATATGGAGAAAAGTGCTGAGTCATCTTTGTAACAATCGAAGTCGCTTGTCATTGCTTTGTGAGGCTCCGAGGCTTTTCTTCCCGCCTCGCGCTTCTTCTTCGTCTTCGTCTTCTTCTTCTTCTTCTTCTTCTTCTTCTTCTTCTTCTTTCTTCTTTTCTTCTTCTTCTTCTTCTTCTTCTTCTTCTTCTTCTTCTTCTTCTTCTTCTCGTCTTCTTCTCTTCTTTCTTCTTCTTCTTCGTCTTCTTCTTCTTTCTTCTTCTTCTTCTTCTTCTTCTCTTCTTCTTCTTCTTCTTTTTCTTCTCTTTCTTCTTCTTCTTTCTTTTCTCTTCTTTCTCTTTCTTCTTCTTCTTCCTCTCAATTTTCTTCCTCTTTTTCCTTCCTCTTCTTTTTCTTTTTCTTTTTCTTCTCTTCTCTTCTTCTTCTTCGTCATCCTCTTTTTCTTCTTTTTCTTCTTTTTCTTCTTCTTCTTTCGCTCTTTATTTGTCCTCCTTTTTCTTCTCCGCCTCCCTTTTCTTAATTTATCATATTTTCTTCATATTATTATTCATTATCATTATTTGTTCTATTTCCAATTATCTCAACATATTTCTTATGTTCTTCTTATTCTTCTTCATATTCTTCATCATTATCGCTATGGTTTCTTCATATTTTTTCTCTCTCTTGTCTGTATTTCTTCATCTCCTTTCTTCCTTTCATTTTTCTCTTCATTTCTTCATCTTATTCATATCCCCCACTTTCATCAAAATTTACTTCATATTCTTTTTATCAAAATCACCTCTTCATTATTCTCATTATCATCTATTTCTTCTTCCTCTTCTTCTCGTCATTATCATCATTATCATCTAATTCTTCTTGTTCTTCCTCCCCTTCCGTTATTACTATTAATTTATAAGATTAATTATATTATTTTCTCTATGGTATTAAGATCACTATCATACTCATCATTATTATCATTATTATTATTCTCCTCATCATCATCATTATTATCATAGTTACGATAGTAACAATCAATAATAATAATAATAATAGTAATAATAACAATAATAATAATAACGATAATAATATACTTAATAATATTGATGATAATGATTATGATAATTATAATAATAATAATAATTACAGTAATAATAATAATAATAATAATATAATAACAATAACAATAATAATAATAATAATAATAAGAAGAAGAAGAAGAAGGAGGAGGAGGAGGAGGAAGGAGGTCGCTAACGGGTAGTAGGGAGGGGGGGGTTATGAGGTGGCCGCAGGTGGACGCAGCAGAGGATAAAGGGGTATGAGGCGGTATATATGAGGGTGATGAGGCGACCGCTGGCTCTTATTTTCTTTCTTATTTTATTCTTTTTTTTTTTTTTTCTGTCGTGATTTTTATTCTTTTTTTTTTCTTTCTTTCTTTCTTTTCTTCTTTCTTTCATGATCCTTCTCTCTCCATCCACCTTCCCCTTTCTTCCACCTCTCCCTCCCCCTACCCCCTACCCCTCCCTCTTCCCCCCCCTTCTACCCCCCACAGATCCACTCCGTCAGCGATTAGCATCCGCCTCCCCCTCTCCCTCCGCCCTCCCCTCCCCTCCCCCCTCCCTCCCCTCCCTCCAAGACTGCTTGAGCTTCCGGTGCTCTTTCAGTCTCTCTTTTCGAAACGTCTTGAGGATTTAATGAAAGGAGGAATTATGGGTAATGGTGATGGTGATGATTATCATAATGATAGTGATAACAATATAGCAATAATGAAAATGAAATAGAATTAGTAATGATATAATAACAACAATAATAATAATGATAATGATAATGATAATAATTATCATAATAATATCAATTTAATAATGAAGGTGATAATGATAATAATAAAT